ACTCTTGCAAAAGTCTTTTTATATAGTAGATATTTTTCACAGTTATTCACTTATTGTACATGTCACTTTTCTTGATAGCACTGTTGAATATTAATACCTGCTCTTTCTTGCGACAATGGCAATAATTCAGACATAGCTAGCTCACTGCTGCTGTACATGCAAGCTCTAGTTTTTGATGTCTGTGGGACAATGGTAATAATCCAAGCTATAGTAAGTGATCTGGCTGGCTATATGTTTTTTATTTGCCTTAGAAGGTGAATCGTACACGACCTGGCTTTATAATATTTGTTACCAAAGATTGCACATGTAAATATGTCTGAGTTAGGCCAATCTGGCATTTGGTAAAGGTAGTTACCCACTACCTAAATTATATGTGCTGTGATGGATAGGATTTGCTAACCCTGACCATGAAGTTATTTTGGTGAAGCTCCGTCTCTCCAGACTCAGGTTCAGCTGATTCTTCCCAGGGATGAGGCTATGTCCCGGTGAGACCTGAGTGGCCTTCTGTCCCAAACCTCTGGCCCTCTGACCATGGGAAAACAGTAGAGACAGGAGGCAGGGCAGGGACTGTGATGGATGGACACAGATCAAGCTTAATATATTTTCATGTTGAAAATATATGTACCTCATGTGCCAGAGAGAGAGAGAGAGGCCATGGGATGTTTCTGAATATAGAGTATTATCTGTTGCAGGAGCTTGTGCCATTTTCTTCATCTCATGTCATTTTTGTAAATTTGGCAAAACATTAGAAAACAGATATGACAGCTGATTAGATGATTAGGTGGGTGATGAATTCTCTGATGGCCATAAAGTTATATAATCCCTCTATCTCTCTCTGAGGGCCATTTCAGGACATTTCCCATCACCCCATTTGGCAGGGGTCATCGCTATGACAACAGTTTCTGAGGAACTCTGTAGTAGAGGAGTGGTGTGTGTGTGTGTGTGTGTGTTTGTGTGTGTGTGCTTTTTTGCATACATATATACACACACATGCATTTCTCTCTTCAGACAGCTGAAGAGAGCTGCTTTGATTAAATAATCAAAATGCTTTGATTGTGTCCACGATTACTACCTAGAAAAATAAACAGATATGTAGTTTAAAGAATCAAACACAAAATAAAATACACACACACACACACATGCACACTAGAAGCCACATAAACAAGCTGATAAACTCAGGGAAGTAGAGGAGTAAGCAGCCAGCACTGTTAGTACTCACGTCAAGTCAAATTGAAGGTCTTTAGTGCTGATATGGACATAAATAAATAATGTGTTGACTGAATGGATGTTTGTAGATGTTAGTGTGTTATAGCCAAAATATCATGAATGCATGTTTGGTGTTTTCTCATTGGATTGATGTTTCCTATAATCTGGTATCCTGTTCTCAGTACTCAGTCACATGTGAAACTTAAGCTGTTTTTAGACATGAACTCTGGAGTTTGCTTTCCACAAATGGAGAAGGCAGGACATTGTCCCTGTCAGACACATTCACAACAACAGGAAAATTCCTGGCTAGGGGTAAACCCTGGGAAGAGCATGCTGGAGGCACGATATGACGTAGAAATTCCACTGTGGAAAAAGCACATCGACAGCGATGTCCTTATCGCCAAAAGCTCTCGACTCTTGTAGTCTTTCCAAGTTGACATGTTCATTGGAAACTTCATCGATATTGTAATCTTCCAGTTTTCCTGCAGTATTCTCATTGTGACAATTTCTTGGTATTTTACCGGGGGGTGGGAGAGCTTGACTATAACATATGCATTCCTACACACGGCCCCTCTGGAAAGTTTCAGGAAAGAGTTCAGTGGATATCTGAAAGCAGCTATATGTATTACTATAAACTTGACCATCTGCAATCCCTTCTCACTTTCATATCTTCTGATCTCTCTCTCCAATGCTTTGTGCACATTTCTACATTCCTGCACTGCTGCTGCTCAGACAAATGAATGGACCTGTCTTGCTTTTGTGTCTCTACAGGAGCGTGTGGAGTATCTGTTCCTCATCATTTTCACCGTGGAGGCGTTCCTGAAGGTAATAGCCTATGGCCTGCTCTTCCACCCCAATGCATACCTGAGGAATGGCTGGAATCTGCTTGACTTCATCATTGTAGTCGTAGGGTGAGTGAACAAAAACACACGGCAGAGATTGAAGCTGTGAAATGTTTTTAAATGATCCTGCGTTACTCTGACTGAATATGTTTAGCTTGATAGAAAGTACACCCAAGAATTGTCTTTTTCCAGGGTTTAAACAAACATTAACTGACACATTTTTAAACAGTAGCATATCAATGGCAAATTAATCATAGTGCCTTGGTATAATTACTGTCAACAAATGAAACTACAGCCAAGGCAAGTGGCAGCCTCTGTCTAATGCCAGAGGTTGTCATAGTGGTAATGTCTTTCAAGATTAAGGTAATTAGTTATCTTTGATTTAAAACAAATTTCACTGAAACAATTTCCAAGAACAAAGCTATTCTTTTCTCTTGCCAACAATTTTAGCTTCACTACAGATTCAACACATTTGCAAAAACACAATCTGCAGGCACTGTGTGTAAGTGTGATTGCTCTACGTAGAGATAGATTGAGGAATCATAAAAATCAGTTAGTTAGTTCACTGTATTTTAATAAAATTCTGCAATCCCTTACGAATTTTAGAAAAAGTTTTGTGTTGAAAGAAGCTTCCTTTTCAGTCAATCCGCATTAAAGCTGCAATAAACTTGGGGCTACACTGTATTGGTGAAGCCTAAACTGATTAGCTTGTTAGATGCTGATAGCAAAGCTCTGCTCTGCTTTTCTTTATCTGCAACTCAGCAACATAGCCCATCTGCTAAACCCTCTGTGCCTGTGTGTGTGTGTGTGTGTGT